AATGTTACCACTAAATTATATCTTTGAAATTCTCTTACATAATATTTCACATTCAATATACAAAATTGCTCTTTAATATCGCCGTATATTTTACACGGATATTTCGAAATTACCTTCGTCCTGGCCACTGCCAAATTACGAGTACTATAAGCAATACCTGAGTATAAATATATATTACAACTGAGAAGGCCAGATAAGTATATGGTTGATTGTTGGTGAGCCCCAGTCTTATAACATTAAAATACGCTGTCGACCAATTTCGGCTTTGTACAATTAAAAATCCACAACCACAATCTAAACATGCTTTATACCAACTCTGCTTTGCTTCCATGCATGTGTAAAGTCCGACAGGTCTGAAGGAGTCGAATCTCAGAGAAACAATAGATTATTTTGATATAGAAGATCAACAACTTGCCTGTAAATTAACAGGTGTAAATAGTGTATGTAGTTTACGCGGGTAGTACACATTTTACTAAAGAATTTTTATCAGTTTAATCGCGAAAAACATAGTTGCTGCAAAGCATCCGAAACGTCGAGCCTATGTAAAATAAATCATAAACAAGTCTAAGTAATATATTTCGCCTTCTTAACCGTTATTTGTGGTTTATTAGGATACAGGGTTTTTTTTTAATACCAACTCTCTAAAATAATAGTTACACATTGTTAACGATGATAAACAGTAGAATATTAATTTATCAGAATCACCAATTATCTTGCGCCTACTATCAAATATCGATGGTCTAGCTTTGTCTAGACTGCGTTATATATCGCTATGCTCTATATAAACTGTATTATATTAATCTACGAGAGTGTGAATAGTTCTCAGTTATATTAGAACCATATTGATTAACAATATTAATTCATATCTCTGTTTCTAATCATGCAGCTTTGTAAGCTAAAACAATACCTTATGAAGTGTGATCCGTGGAAAATCTTGCCGCTGAGTAAACTTCGTTAATTAATCATGAATACTTAGATTATCACTGCATAAGTTTTGATATCTTATTTTAAATAAATACTTTCTATAGTTTAGGCGACTAGTACACATTTAAATAACACACTTTAACGGTTTAAAACGCGATATATTAGTTAATCTTCGTGACCACGGCTGCTGCAAAGCATCCGAAACGTCGGGCCGAAGTTAAAAATCATTTTCAAATAAGTTTAACTAATATATCGCGTTTTAAACCGTTAAAGTGTTTTATTTAAATATTTTTAATGTGTAGTTATAATATTTTAATAACTCTAACAAGATGAAATAACTTTAAGAGGCGTAGAGTTTTCATTTTGTTAAAAACACTAATATTATAAAGCTGTAACAGTAACTATTGGTTTGAATCGAAAAATATCCTATAATCTTACACTGCGATCAAGGGGAGCGAAGAAACTTTATCTTAACTTTAGAAAAAAATATCGTTACTAAGATTATAATTACTATTTATAAATATTATAATTACTACAATCTGTAGTTTACGTACACACGTAGAAGTCGTTTAACGTAACACTCGATTATATGAAAGACTTAACGAATTAAACGCATAAGAAACTAATAAACTTTTTTCTTTTTAATTACGACTACACATTTCTAATGCTGCGCAACAGCTCGTAGTTGGTATTTCGTGTTGTATACGCTTAAAATTGTTTTATTTGATAGACTTAAACAATACTTAGTTTTGGAATGATTAAAATAATTCATTGCATACTGTCTATAGTTTACGCGAGTAGTACACATTTAAATAACACACTTTAACGGTTTAAAACGCGATATATTAGTTAAACTTCGTGACCACGGCTGCTGCAAAGCATCCGAAACGTCGGGCCGGAGTTAAAAATCATTTTCAAGTAAGTTTAATTAACATATCGCGTTTTAAACCGTTAAAGTGTTTTATTTAAATAATTCATTGCATTCATGCACAATTGGTTGGTAATATTGAGACCTGCGCGCAGTTGAGCTAACTTCTAACGATAATTGACCTAATTCAACCACAGACGTACCGTCGACCTGTATAATACCGAAATAATGGCTTTAACTCTTGCGATTAAGCACCCTTGACGCTGTATAGGGTCACAAAGGACGTTTTATGTTATAAAACAGTAATACCTAAATAAAAAAAATGTATACCCCAAAACGTTTCACTTATCTACTATATTTTTCACATGTTATTGCACATGTTACTATATAAATTAAAAATCGATTATAAATTAAAGAAATTTACGACTCGGGCAGGACTTGAACCGGCACCCACATCGTTCCGTTGCTGTAACTGTGTGCAATTGAGCTACACGTCATCGTCGATTTTTTTCAACCTATTGACACAGCTCTCGGCCCAGCTGAGCAAGAGCAAGGAACGCTGTGGATTCGTTTTCAAGTCCTGCCCAAATCGTGATTATTGTCAATTTAAACGGGAAGGGATGATTTTAACTATGGCTCGACGGTGGTCACGGGGAGACTAAAGACGGAGTGTTTCTATGACGTCAAAGTAAAAAATCCACCTTTTTTTATGTTGGTGTGACGAGCCAAAATATTTGCATTCTGCTAACAGTGCGGTAGAGTCAGCATAATAAACGGCGCTTGTGTGTTCATAAATTTTGTGAGCTTGTGCGGTGCTTATGTGACCTGTTTATGCGAGTTAAATTGTGTTATATATGTGTATAAACATTTTATATGAAACACAACTATGCTAATATATAAAGCTAAAGAGTTTGTTTGTTTGTTCGAACGCGCTAATCTCAAAAACTACTGGTTCGAAATTGAAAAAATATTTTTCTGTTGGTTAGAGCTATTATTGAGGAATGTGTGACTAATACAAGCGAAAACACAGCGAGAAATGTGAAAAATGTTGAGAACGTTTATCTTTTATGATTAACTTGCAAGAAAGACGGGAAGTGACGCGACCATCGTCATGGGGTAACAGTTAAAGTTTATAGATGGAGGGGTTTGCAAAAGCGAATTTGGATGCCCAAAATAACGATTCTCGTGGACGAAGTCGCAGACACGGCTAGTTAATTATACACATCATAGTGTGAATCCTACTAATGTTATAAATGCGAAAGTTTGTGAAACCCATGTGGGTGAAACACCAATGATGAGTCATTTTCTAGTTTTGATAAGATTTCCAATAGGTAAACAAACAAGTATATTGACTTTTAACTTGAATTTCCGCGATATCGATAACTAGGTGTGGCCGCGCCGTCCGCGTCGTCCGCGTAACATAGTTATTTTGGTATAAAAATTTGTTTTTGCAAACCTTCCTTCTTCCTTAAAATTTTAGCTGCTACCCACGACGTCGTCTGCGTCCCGTCATTCTTGCAAGTTAATCGTGGCAGACATTTTTTTAACGACCATTTAAGGGGGAATTCTTCTTTCATACATACATACGCTTCAGTTTATTAATATTAGTATAGTGAGCACACGGAAACACATTCTATCGGAATGTCCTATGGGTATGACGGCAAGGTGAACCTGGAAAATTACGCGGAACTCGAGGCACGTAAAGAGAATTATAATGTAATGATAAGCAATGCAAAAATAAGATCTCAATTTTTTACATACTGTATAGAAATCGCCCAACCAACTGACAGAACATAAGAAATGTGCGTCGATACAAATAGTGATAAATATAACATAATACTCGTTAACGGTAATTAAAAAAAAAACAACTAAACGTAATATGGTAAAATAAAGGTCTCTTTCCAAGTGAAAGGGGAGATCCTGAATTCTTACTTAAAAAAAAAAATATTAGTATAGTTAAAAATCCATTTTTAACTTAACATTTTTGTTTAATTCGGACTAGTCCTAACTGAGATTAGCGCATACAAACAAACAAACTCTTCAGCTATATAATATTAGTATAGATTAATTCTCAAAAATATATTCGAATCGCGTTGACAGATACTGACGCAAGTATATTTTATTTTTCTTCTAGATCTCTCATTGTTTTGTAACTGTCCCAAGAAGCAGCATACTGGCAAACTGTTAGTGTCTTCGCGTCAATCAATGCAAGGACCGGCCAATTTCGCCCAATATCAACGGAAAAGATGGCGCTAGCGAAGCAATTTTTACTTTGACGTCAGAGACACCCTCGATCTTTAGGCTCCCCGTGACCACGGCTGTTACAAAGCATCCGAAACCTCGGGCCGTAGTTAACATAATTTTCAAGTAAGTTTAACTAGTATATATCGTGTTTTAAACCGTTAAAGTGTTTTATTCAAACGTTTTGTAACTGTCAACTTGGCTGCGCCCCAGAATAGTAGACAATTAACGAATAAAGGACATTCCACGAATAAATAGAGAGTCAGCAAACGCGCAAAGCTCATTAAATACCCTAGAACTAATGGACACATTTAACTTTGCATAGTGTTTGGTAAACGCAAGTTTCTAATGATTTTAGTTTAACGTAAAAGTTTAATTAAATAATATCGCAGGCAGTGCCGTAATCATTCCGCTAATGGTCTGGAGCTATATTTGTTTATTTATTAATAATTAGTATCAGACTTAAGTATGATCTGAAGTTTACGCGAGAGAACAAATTGAAATAAAATATTTGCATGTTTACGAAAGGAAACATATTAGTTACCTATTTTAGTCAGTTACTAATACATTTCGCATTTCAGAAAACGGTTTCATGCGCCAAATATTAAATAATTTTCCATATATTTTATCCTTACTAATATATTTCGTGTTTCAATCCGTTAAAAGTGTTTTATTTAAACATGTATTCTCGCGTAAACTACACACGCCACTTGAGATCTATTTATGCGATAAATTTGCTATACATTATGTGTATATACATGTTTATAAACACATCGTTTTCTAGTGTGATTTCTACTTGATTGCCACAAATTGTGAGACCCATTCGGCTTAAAATATATTTAAAATCGTATTTACCAAGACAGGTTTCCAAATGTTATAAGATTATACAAAAAATCTTCAAGGTTACCTCGTAAAAACACATTTATATCAGGACCTTATACAATTAGGTTTAACTGTTATCGAAAAGATGCATCGATGGTTTGTTTTTATCAGTTCGTTTGTGACCGGTCAGTGTGTTATTATCGAATATTTTCCTCGTGTTACTGCTAAACTATGAAATATGGAAAACATGCGCTTGACTATTTATTGTTTTTGTTGTCATTCTTATAACTTATAATACCTATAATTAATATATACAGCGATGTAAAATTATTATGTTGCTGGTGCCTTGCTTTCGGTTTTTTTTGGACTTTATTTCAGTCTCTAGAAGTATCGTTTTGGGTTCTGTGAGTAGGCCGTTTGAGGGCTTGTACCGTATTGATGTGCCGTGACGTAACACCTATTTTATTAAACATCTTAAATTATATAAACGAGAAAACACTGTGATAAAGTTTTATAAGGACCTGCATCCTAGACAATTATTAGGAAACAGATGGCGTTAGCGTAGCAAACTTTGGCATTAGGGGCAGTCTCCATCTTGAGGCCCCCTTGAGCTATTGCTAAGCATCAAGGTTGTAATCAAAATAAATAAGTTTAACAAACATATTAATTAATATAACTTGATATAATAATTACTTCTCCTTAAAAATAAACCAATTTTTTGTGTAAGTATGAAAATACAGTACGGTAAGTATTATATTGTTTATGAACGAGTTGTTAAAAATAACACCTTGCTCATTTTGAACATCAAGCTTTGAGTTTTTCCAGACGTTTCGGATGCTTTGCAGCAGCCGTGGTCACGGGGAGCCTAAAGATCGAGGGTCTCTTTGACGTTACACGGGAAGTCAGGAGGAATTCTCCCCGTGACCACGACTGCTCCAAAGCGTCCGAAACGTCAGGCCGAAGTTAAAAATTCGTTTCATCATTTCATTCATTTTCAAATAAGTTTAACTAATATATCGCGTTTTAAACCGTTAAAGTGTTTTATTTAAATGTTTACTACTCGCGTAAACTATAGACAGTATTTAATCTTTAAATTTTCAACCTTTGTCTACATTTTCATTTTAGCGGTAACTATTTCTGAAGATTACGCTTGGTGTAAACACGTTTTAATATTACCGAGTTGGCCAAGTCTACCGTTAGTTAGTGAGATAATAGTTTTATTTCTGAGTATTATGGAATTATAAAAGCGTGAAGATACAAACAAATGACAATAAAATGTAAGTATATCAAGTAACATTAATAAGCTAACTTATAAGTTGTTTGTATATCTTTTTTAGTTACTTTAGTTACATGTATAAAGCAATATTCATGTTTACATTTGCAAAAAAGTTTTTTTTAATACATAAAGAAATATTTTGTAGTTTGACAGGCACTTATTTTGAAACTAATTTATATTTTCGGTTGGACAAAGCAGATAAGTCTGATCAACATTTAGTTGATCAGACTTATTAAAAAAACTCGAACGGTGATGAGACCTCCGCCTACGGGAAATGGAATATTTCTTTTTTAACGACATTTAAACATTTTGATAATTACATATAAAAATATTTATAATTGGCTACCCGTGTTCTTTCCAAGTACTGCGCTCTTTTAATTTGTTCAAAATTAAAACATGACAGTACTCAGAAATACTCAACGTTGACGTCATATTTAAATAGCCCCAAGGCCTTAAAATGTCAAAGGGCATAGCTATTATTTATTTACTTTAATTACAGTATGTCGAAGATATTTCTAGTTATACTCCTAACAACGTTAGCCAATGCTCAAGATAGATGGGCTTTAGTGGGAAACCCACTCGTGGCCGTCAGACCCTGCAACGACACAGATGATGTCTTCATTAATTATGAACCAGGGAAACCTCCGGAAGAAGAAAACGAATATTCTTTGAATATCGAAAAATCGTTTCCCGTTTATTCGAGAATTAGCTTAAGGTTCGATTCACCCGCTAGTGTTAAATTGGTGAGTAAGGACTTTAACTGATTGAAACGACAAATATATAGTTTATTTTAAGTAAGGCTTAATATGATGATAGATCCAGTTAGTCTCTGCGAGTACCATTTACGAGGGAACTAATGACGGTCGATTTTACCCACACCAAACTATTCATATATGTTTTTAAGCCTTTTACATCTAATTATCTCTGCAACATTCTTTTATATAATCACTGTTCTCTAATAAAGTAGAGAGTTATATTTTACATAAATTAATTCATATAACCAAAATTTTTGCATTTCCCTCATATTCAAATGAAACCTGGGTGAAGGTAGTTTCAACCTTATAAATATGAAAAACATGTTCAGACCAATGCAATAAAGATTTCAAGTACCAATTTGATTATATCTATTATATATTTCTACTTTCAGTTTGACAAATCCTTCGCTAGGGTATCAACTGGGAAAGGTGATGTTATTGAAATTAGGTTCTTCAAAAGTCATAATGGAATATCGCTCCAAGTCCAAGGGCCAAGGATAACACTTCTGTTGTGCCATATCTGACCCACTTGGAAATAAATAGCATGGAATATTGTCAAAACGCGAGAGTGGTATGTAAATGCTCAAAAGAAAAAAAAAAGAGTTATAATATCTTGTTAGTACTAAATCTTGCATTCATATTTTTTACTAGCTGTTTCAGCGCTTCGTCCGCTAAGTATATTTATTTTGGGCATTCAAATTCGTTTTTGCAAACCCCTGCCTTTATAAGCTTTTACCCACGACGTCGGTCAAGTCCCTACCCGTCGTTTTTGGAAGTTAATCTTAAAAGATATAATATTGCAAAAATATTTTCCCGTTGTGTTATCCTGTATATTCGCTGCTATGTAGTCACATCGTGTTTATAAACCCACAAGATGAAAAATTTCTTTTTGTTCACTTTTCGCTGATATTAACTGCGCTTCAAACAAGCACAGCGCTTCAGCTGTTATATTAGCATGCTAAGGACGATAAATCTCTGATGGGCCAACACAATAATCGTTTATCAGGCGGATTTCGTTCAAGCCGATCCAAAGACGATTTGCGCGTTCCAAAATGCAAACAAACAAATGCTTTTTTGCTTTAATTATTAATAGTAAAATAGTGATCGGGATCATAAATGCAGATGGATTGACAAATAATCGATCGTAAAATGCCCCGAACCGAATGAACGATTTGCCGTCCCTGAATTGCGCTTTTAACAGGCAAAAATAGATCGTTATCTTTTTTAATTACTTTATTTTTATGATTGATGGAGGTTCCAGACACAAAGCTAAATTCCTGTATTGGAACCCCACATTTACAGTCTACATTTCCCAGAAAAGATCGAACTTGGCTGGAATTGAACCTACACGTTGGTTATCAGCTATTCAGTACTAACATAGCACCAACAGTAAAATATTCAATAAAAAAGTTTTACTTAATTTCTTCATTACCTACTACCTGTAGGTTACGCGATAGTACAAATAAAATACTTTAACGGTTCAAAACGCAAAATATATTAATCAAACTGTATTAATTTGTAAATAAGTTTAATTAATATATGCTTCCCGTTTTAAACTTTGTTTTATTATAATTGCTTTCCAACCCCTGAATATCTTTTTCCCGTCAACTTCACAATTTGTTTTGTTTTCAGGGCTACCTAGACAACTACATACAAGGGTACAAAGACCGTGCAGAAACGTTTCAAAGACGGAACAGCCAGTCGTGTGGCAGACGGAAATTAGGATACACACAGTTAATCGTAAACGGTGACGTCACGCAGGCAGGAGATTGGCCCTGGCACGTTGCGATATATAGGCTCGATAAAAACTCCTTGAAGTATATTTGTGGGGGGACTCTGATCTCCAAGAATTATGTTCTTACAGGTTGGTTATTAGTAGGTCAATTCTGCGGATTTGTTGTTCTTAAAAATTAGTACAATATAACTTCATTAGTATAGTTGTTTTTATATATCTAAGCTGAAGAGTTTGTTTGTTTATTATTTGCTTGGACACACTAATCTCGAGAACTACTGGTCCGAATGGAAAATTATTTTTATAATGTTTGTAGATTTGACCATTTATCGAGAATGGTCGTAAAACATTACACTGCGACCACTAGGGGGAAGCAACTGTGTGGAGTGTGGGAAAAGTATTTCTTTGTGGGTTTCCAATAACGTAGATATGAAAAAAAGGCCCTGTTTACCAACGAATATATATCTAAAAAAAAATTCCTGTTTAAACATATAGACAGTATATGTCCATCTTTTTGAATTAACTCGCAAGAACGACGGGATGCTGACGACGTCGACGGTTAACATCTATCATTTATAAAGATGATGAGAAGTTTTGAAAAACAAACTTTGATTTCAAAATAACTATTTTACACAGACGAAGTTGCGGCCTCAGCTAGTGTTTTATAATTAACAGCTTTGCTTATTTACAGCTGCTCATTGTACAACCATACACGGTGCACCATTGTTACCAGAAATCCTAAGTGTTGTACTAGGGAAGTATAATTTAATTGGAGGTGATGTAGGATCCATAGAAAGAGAGGTAAATATTATGTTTCTTCTCATTAAAGCGGGACGATTATTCTTAATTTCAATACTAAATTTATACTAATATATAAAGTTGAAGAGTTTGTTTGTTTGTTTGAACGCGCTAATCTCAGAAACTACGTGTTTGAATTTGAAAATTATTTTTGTGTTGGTTAGGGCATTTATCGAGGAAGGTTTTAAATAAAACATCGCGATGTGACTAATGAGGAGCGAAGAAACAGCGGACAATGTGGAAAAACGGGGAAAATTACTCATCATTATAGGTTTCCAGCTACGTTACAAGATCGGTTAGATAAGCTACTTATTTTTAATGAATTTAACTATATATACCAGTCCCCTCAGTGACCACACCTGCTGCAAAGCATTCGACACGTCGGGCCGTAGTTCAAATAAGTTATGTAATATACAAGTATTTTGTACTATTAGGGAACTTTTACAATTACGTATTTATTACTGTCCGTTATTTATGCGAGTAGAGCACATTTAACGGTTGAAAATACGAACTAATATAAATCGCGTTTTAAACGGTTAAAGTGTTGTATTTAAACATATTTACGTATTATATAATTTTCAGGTGCATTCGATAACAGTGCATGAAGAATTCACTCTACCATATTTGCACAACGACATAGCACTTCTGAAATTAAAAACGGAAGTCACATTTAGTGATTATATACAACCATCCTGCCTTTGGTATAAAGGAGCGTATGAACAACTACCTGGTCACAAAATCAATGGTACAGTAAGTAAAGTGATAATATCTATCTCTAATCAGTAAATGTGTCAACGGACTGATAATGTTATCGTTGTTCCCAGGTCGTGGTTCGATGCCCACCATCCAACAAGGTTTTATTCATTCATAATTTTTCTGATACATGTTGGGGGTATTGAAACGTCCAAATTGCATCCGGTTCACGCCACCCACCCAAACCTATGCTCTCTGGCTTTTTCCTTTTGGCTTTTTGTCTGTGATTTCCTTCAAAGTTAATTTTTTAAAGACTATTCCTATTGTCTGTAGATTTAGGTCAGCAGTGGATAGTTTTACTATTTTAACGTCCCAAAAAACCTTAGCTTGTCATTCTGCTTCTTAAAGAATATATCGGTCGTGCGACAGAGAGAGGAGACACTATTCCTATAGTCTGTAGTTTACGCGAGTAGTAACTCATTTATACAAACAAGTTTGACTAGTTAAAAATAATAACAGTTTAACAACGCGTTTAAAACCGTTAAAATGTTTTATTTAAATTATTCAACCTATTGAACTTTAAAATGTTTATAAAATGGTTCAAATAGAAAAATTCAACGGATTAAAACGCAGTTACGAAGTCTTCTCTCAAGTCCCAAATTGCTATTAGAGAAGAAGTGTGTATTAAGTGTATTTTTTACATTGTCTTAAAACAACATTCCACTATTTTTAATTGTTATATACTAATTTTATAAATAGGTCGTAGGATGGGGTTTCGACCAAACTGATTCACTATCGTCGAAACTGAATAAAGCGACTTTTCTTAAGCTATCTGAAGGGAACTGTATCAAGAAAAATCCATTGCTATATGCTACCATTCTTACTGACAAAAAGTTTTGCGCAAAAGGTAACGATGGTAAGTAGTAAAATTCTTCATCGCTTGCAGGTAGTTTGAAATAATAGTTTTGATTGATATAAGGTTAGCGATTTAACTAAGTGTGTATTTGAAGATGCCTAACAGAAGTTACTCAGGCAAACTAGTGCTGTTACGCATTACGTAACGTAGCGTAGGCTGGAGAAGTTATCGCTCAATAATGGGCTTCTAGAAAACTGAACATAAATTTTAATAATAAGAGTAGTCCACATATTTCTCTAGGTAATCAGTTATGCTGTAGAGTCTTGCAAAGGTGTTTCCAGGGCTCCCTCGAAAGCACCGTAGCGGGCTGATGGTGTGTTTAATGGTTCTGGTCGGCTAATGTCTCCGAGGAGGTTGTAGTACGATTTACCTCACTCCACACGTCACTATTGCCCGACATAGGCGTGCATTAGGCATTCTCACCATCACAAAAAAGGGGTATCAGCTATTAACCCATAAAATTCTCTAGGTACTTCGCCCTGCAACGGCGACAGTGGTGGTGGTTTCCACGTCTTCGTGCCAGACACCCCTCAAGACAGCTCTCCTAGTGCCATCGGATCTTGGCATGTGAGAGGCATAGTATCTGTCACAGCTAGGAGGAACGACGCCCCGATTTGTGATCCTGACCAATATACAGTATTCACGGATGTCGCCAAGTTTACTGACTGGATCAATAAGTATATCAGTTAAAAATTACATAAACAGAGTTTTATTTTCGTTGTTTCGGGCCGTTGTTAAAATACTTTTCAAATAAGTTTAACTAATATATTTTGCATTGTAAACCGTTAAAGAGTTCTATTTAAATATAGTAACGTTATTAGAGTTAGATGCAATTTCACCATAACATTTTGATAATGACGTCAGGACTTGAACCTACGATCCATAAGTTACCCAATTAATGTGCAATAGTAAAGGCACAGTATGATGTCGGCTATGTGTTTCAGTTCATCTAAAGTCATTTCCGAATCAATTATAAGAAAATTGGCAATAAATAATATATAATTCTGATACCAACTTCGAATTTGTTTGGTCTTCGTAGTGGCGTGTTGCCTACAAAAATTGGTGCATCCATTTCTTTTAATTTGTATGCCATAAGTCATGATGCTAAATTGGTCTATGTAAATAATGCTTAAACGTTAATTATAATTGGCATAATAAAACTTTTTGTAAGTTGTACCATACATTGTAAACATACGAGAAGATAAGAATCAACTTTAAAATGTAGCATCAAACAAAAGACGACTTGAGTCGAACAATTTTGTGATACAAATCAAAAGCGGTTCACATGATCACTGTGTGCGGTACACGGCAATAAGTGAGACCTTTTACGCACTGCTGGAAATCCGTAATATTGTCATAACTATTATGGAGTAGTAAATTTAAAAATAAAATACTTCTAACAGCTTAAAACGCGAGATATATTAGGTAACTTGCTATTCATTTTATTTTATTTATTCAGGCTTGTCACAGGGACTGGATTTGGATGTCCCTTTGTTGTTAGATCCGCTTAGGTCAGCCATGTTTGGTTGTACTGCAGATCTAAGAGGTGTCCCTAATGTTATTTGTTTACTGGTATGGTTATTGGAATCTAGTGTTTGGGGGCTGCTGCAAAGCAAACGTTAGGCTGTAGTTAAAATTAAATCAAAATAAGTTGACTATATTTATATATTTCTTTTATTTCAGTTATATATTTCGCGTTTTAAACCGTTAAAAATATTTTATTTTGATATGAATACAAAACGGGGACGATGTCATTTCTATACCAGAGTTTGTTTCCAAAATGATCTATCTTATTATTTAAAAAAACAGTAAATGTTGAACATAGTTTAAATTGATCAGTGCGTAACCACCTCATGAGTACAGCGTTTGAAACGTAAAGAAATCTAACCTGGGGGATTTCGAAATCAGGACAAGATTCTCCATAATTTATGTACAGTCGTTTGAGTTGCAACCTCCTACATTCGAGATGCTTGGTCTCCATTAGAACACAAAAAGGAATGGAGAGGAATTAGTGATTCCGCATTCCGGGGTTCCGTGTAACTGTACATTTTTCTAAAAAAACTGGTTTTGATATTAAAGTAGGGAAGAGAGAACTTGAAGTTCACTTTATCGATGCCCTATTACATCTAATGAGGATGCGCTGTCGATTTTAATCAATTTCTAATACATCCTTATTGTACTTAGTAAATTATTTTTTATGATAGAGGAGGACATATTATCACCATGGTGTAAGGTGAAATGCCTTAGACATACAACCTCTTGACAAAATGCGTTGTCGATCTATTTTGCCTTTGGGTATTCGCGAAACAAACCGTTCCGTATTTCTACGGACTAACTTTATTTTGGATAGACGCGGTCCTCGCAAGCTTTTTAAACACTCGAGAACACGTATCTAACACCATTGGCTATCGAAATTACGTACTAAATTAAATTAATTTATGTTTTTTTTGTATGTTTAACTTATAAGAAGTTACGTAGAGAACCCAATCAAAGCTTGGTACTGAAGTTGATACGAAGTTCAAGAGGACGTAGATTAAGTTTTAATTCTAAGTAAATGTTTGCGATTGTCACAAAGAATTTGAAGGCTTCCAACGAGAGGCAAACATTTTAATGGACCTTATTCATCAGAGTTACTTTTTCGAGGAAGATTACAGCTGTACATTTAATCCAAATTACTAGATACTTCTGGACATTCTGGTTAAGTACTAAAAATAATATTTGAAAAGCGAACGTGAAGTAGAATGTTACCTCCGTAATTACTTATAATGTTTATATACAATGTGAAGTCTGCTATTTGCGTTCTTATCTGACAGCGTTTTCCGGGGATTAGAACCTAGAACGCTAGATTAAGTAGACGTTAAAATTAAGGTACTAAGTCGGTCAACATATAAAATACGTATAGCTAAAATAATAGGTACTATATTTAAATAATTGAAAATTTAGCTAACACAAAAGCTATTTAAACAGAGAAAATCTTTACTAACTCCATCGATATTGCTTATATGGAAATTCCCAGTTAAAGGAGCAACAAATACTAGAACAGTAGTAAGACTGAATAGAAAATTCGCATCATTGTCTAGGAAAACTCGGATAAGTTCCGCTAGATGGGGTTTGGTATTTTTTTATTCCAGAAAAGCACAAACAAACACAGGGTTCAATGTGAGCCAGGTGAAACACCAGAGCTATAAAACATCTGCACACTATGCGCTGTCAGCCTATTTTGCCTATAGACATTTCGAAATCTACAGCTGAAACCGAAAAGCAGATTTTTTTTCTTTTCGATCTGTGGTAGTTCGCTAGCAGAACCTTGCTTGGCCCTGGATCGAAACCAGGAGCCTTTATGAGACTTGGTGTAAAGATTTAACAGTTAAACTAATTTTAAACACATATTATTTTTTTTAGGGACAACAATTGTAAGTCAACTGATGCTAAGCTGCTAAGTCTTTTCCCACTTCTCCTATAAAGGATCTTGTATTATATCAATAAACTTTAATGTAGGTAAATCAACTATAATGTTTGTTTATGAAATTTATTTCACTCCAAACTAAGTATCAAAATCCCAACAAAGTCCCTTTTATGTTATTAAATGGAAAATTTTCATCGCGCTTTTAAACTGGCTACCAAATCGAATAACGCGAGAGAAAAGGATATTGAAGTAGCCTTTAGAGAAAATTAGATAATTCCGCGAAAACCCGTGTCATTTTCAGTACTTTTCAAAGAGATATAGAGTTCTGGATAATTATATAATACATATTATAGTAAACTATAGTTCTTGAATTTTTGTTCATTTACGTTGATTCATCTCGTTATTTAAGGGTATTGGTAAGGGAATGTGAATACAGATAAAACATATATTTTTTTAAAGGTTGGTAAAAATTACACTCATATATAATTTTTGGCAAAGAGAAAAAATAAAAACATCGCAATATTATAGAATAATAAATACAATACTAATTGCTTAAGAAGATTTTTTGCTAAACATAATTTCCGTGGTATTATGTCACAGCACAGAAAATGTACTTAACGAATGTAAATTCGTTGATCTTCTCCAACAGTATTCGTATGGTATAACATTTTTTTAAGCAATTGTAACTATTTAAATAAATACTTAAACTGTTTAAAACACATAATATATTAGATAAATACTGCTTTGGGTTTACTTACATATTAGTAAACTCCCTGCTGCTACAAAGTACCTGAAACCGAAGTTTTTAGTTAAAATACTTATAAACATAGCGTTTTAAACAGTAAGGAGTATTTCTCTTTTGAGTGTGTGTGTGTGTACAACGTGTACTACTACAGACATTTTATACTTATTATATGATATATGTGTAAACAGATGTATTTTCTTATTATTGTTTTTCGGGCTGTTCGGCCGACGTAAGCTAGAAGAGGTTCTCGACGTTTCTCCTTTATGAGCGGGCGGCATCATCAGGAGATGTTAGCTCATCGATTGCCCGAAGAATTTCTTAATTCTTCGAACAGCCCGAAAAACAATAATAAGCTGAACGATGGTGGTGAAAGCTTTACACAATTTATTAGAAGTATCTTGTTGTGGTGAGGTTACCAATCTTGAGTTGTTTGTCACATCTAGCTATCTAATTCCCTGATAGACAATGGCTATCTATTCCGTCTAGATTGACAATAAGGCACTCTCTCAGCACAATTTTCAATGCACTACGATCGCCTTTCGAGGCTTAATTCAATTGCAGTTTCGTAGCTTTTCAAGTTTCCACCGAAATGAAAAACTAAGTTTTCTAAAATCTTTTATAAGGATCTCAACAATACACGCTTTATTCCTTGGCTGGATCGATTCTCGTTAGACTATATGTTACCCACGTCGTGGTCCGCCCCCCCGTCTCTTGTGAGTTAATCATTAAAGACATAATGTTGCTGACGCTTTTTTAGATTATTAGATACATTCTTTCTTACATATTTTTTGGGTATCTAGAACCGTTTTAGCGCACGAGTCGGAAACTCTCCAAGATTAATAATTTTTCCACATTTCACACTATTTCTTTGGCCCTAATAGTCACAGCCTGATGTTTTATACCCTAAAGCCTCCCTCCATTATTAGTCTCTCCTCCCCTCCCTGAATCCAACCAACATAAAAATTATGTTTTTATTAGCTTTTACACTCAAACTGTTTAGATTTACACCATTTGTATAGATACTTTGACTAATTCCACTTTTTACGGTAAAATAATAACTATAAATAATAACGACTTAAAAGCACTACTTAATCAATTTTGACCTATGACAACGATTGGGATGCTATACACTGCTTTTATTTAATGCCTTCCATTCGGGTAAACTAGACTTTTTTTATTATTATTCCGGGTCCATTTAATATATATTTTACATAACAGAAGACGATTATTATTAACTTTTCTGTTCATAAAGTTGCTAAATCGAAGAAAAATTTGTATAAACTGAGTTGGTTGAGCAGAAAAGAGGTTTCTATGTCTTAAAACAGTAAATGGACACAAAAATATGTTGGCACAATCCTCCATATCTATAGGACTACATGAAAACCTCCAGATTTGGGTCAATTTTATTCTACACCAATGAGAGTAAGTGAATTGTCCCGAAAAATAACTTTGACGGAATTAGATGTCTGCCTGCCTCAAGATAACGGTACCTCACCAAGAAGTTAAGAAAATTGGATAAGGCAATTATTATGGGTATCA